TGTCCCTGTGGATGCCCAAGGTGCTGCTCTGCCATCTGCCCACCCGAGCCATGAGGGACACACAGCGCACGCCTGGCCTGGCCTGGTCCCAGGCAGCAGGCTGGGGCAATTGCATTTAAAAATAGTTTTCTTTGAAAAAACCTCATAATTATTTGCTTTCTGAAGACAATTTATATTTAAATGAAGACATTTACTTTCTGAAGACAAGAATAACAACCCACAGCCCAGCCCGGAACACTCTTCAGCCCCATCCTGACACAAAACACACCCTCTACCTGTCCTCATTAAAGGGTGCAGAAAATCAGATTTACACCTACAAGGTGCACGTCAGCTCCTGTTAAAAGTCAGTAGGCTCTTTGCACAGCATGTGCTGACAGGGCTTCGTCCCACAGAGACCTGCCTTCAGCACAGGAAATCTCCATCCAACTAAGCTGAAACACCGCAGTATGACAAAAAACTACAGACCGAGACTGGAAATTCAAAGGGGTGGGAGGAATACGGCTGTCCTTTTAGTATCTCTGAGTTCTACCTGTGATGGGTCCTGGCCATTCCTCTCTGGACCTGACACCCGGAACCTCAGCATGCTCATCCCATCACTGCCTAAGCCAAGTAGTGCACACCTGACTGGGACAGACACACGGATGCTGCTCCGCTCCCACACCAGCGTGACCACTGCCATCGCCCACCTGCGCCACGTGGAGCCAACTGGTGCTGGTGGAGCTCCAGGGTGCAGGAATGTAGCCAGGAGGCTGGAGCACAGCACTGCATCTAGAACGCCTCTCTCTACGTGCTTCGTCAAGGTGTTTATCCTAATAAGCTTTCCACTCCCTGAAGCACAGAAGATGGAGAGCAGGGCAGCCTGCATTTATGAGCAGCTAAAAAATGAAAGAGAGCAAGAGAGGGAGAAAGCCCCGAGGAGTGCTTGGTGCATGGTGCCCAGCAGGGCTCTGCATGCGCAGCCCAGTTCCAGTGCTTCGGGAGCAAGGGTGAAGGATGGGGAAAGGGGGTTTGCTGCAGGATGGGGAAAAAAGGGGCTGCTGCAGGGGAGCGGTGCGAGGAACAGAGGCAAGCGGGGTGCTCACATGCACACCCAGTCCAGAGGAAGGAGGAGAAATCCCGAGCCCACGTGCCTGTGGAGAGGCTGCCCCAGCCAGAGGTTAGAGGAGGACTTTAAGTGTGGATGGAGAAGCAAGAGGGAAAGACAACTTGTAAGAAAGGTACAGATCAGTCATTTAACTGCCATCAGTGCCCTCCTGCCTCACACCTCTCCTGAAATGCTTTAAAATCTTTTGTGATGGAATGTTTGACATATTTAATGCATGCAGTAAAAATTAAAGTAATGGATAACTTCATATTAATCTGTACAGGGACTGACAGGCTAGATTTAATCACTTCCCAGTTGTTCAGAGAGTTAACTCATTCTAGCATGATTCAAAGGAAAGGTAAAGGATTTTTTTTTTTTTTAATCAGCCATTTCATAGTAAGAGAAAAATGTGACGCAGCCTCGTGTGCATCAGTGCTGGGGGAAGGGAATACCTGCAAGAAAGCCAGAGGTGCTCTGTGAAGGGCGTGCAAATCTCAAACGCCTTGTTTCATCCCCTAAACAGGTACAATAAAAGATTTAAAGACAATTATCTGCTTTCCACCTCCAGTCCACAGGCTTCGGGATCTGGGGTTCAATGCCAACCATGAAAAGCAACTTCTGTTGCAGCCAAGCCCTCTCTAGCCTCTGCCCCCCAGGGCAGGCATCTCTCCAATGCATGTCCTGCCCCACAGCCTTGCTCTGAGCAGGGACAAGGAGCTGAGCAAGGACCAGCAAGTGGCTGTTAAAGGTCAGGCAACCCCAGAACCTGTGCGGTGCCCTCTCAGGCATTGCTTTTTCTGCGATTCACACAAATGGACTTTGTGCAGCAACGTGAAAGTAAAGCCATGGAAATACAATGGCCAAGCAGGGTCCTCTCCCCAAGCACAGACCTCAGCTGTCCCTTCTCAGCTGCTGAGCATCTCTGCAGAGCCAGCACAACCACGTGCTCTGGGCACTTCTAACAGGTTTTTCTCAGAGGTGCTTGGCACCATGACCCTCTTCTGCCACTGCAGCCCCCCAGCTGGCTTTTAAACGTGCTGTACAGGCTTACAGAGGAGCCCTGCAAAGGTGTCATGCAGGACAGGGCAGAGGCTTGGCCGCTTGCAGACTCCACAGCACCAGACACAAACAAGGACAAACCAAGCACACATTGCTAGTAAAAGGATGAAAGGCAAATTATGATAAAAAGTAAACTTAAATCAGTCCCGTATTCCAACCCTATTCCAACTGCAAATCCTGGCTGAGGAGGGCGCTAGGCAAGATGTGCACAAGAGCACAGGGCGAGGGCCAGGGCTCCCCTTCTGCAGAGCACCAACATCAGAAGGAGCTCGAGCCTATAAAAAGGGAGAGATTCAACCTTCAGCGAAGCGCTGTGGAAACTGCTTAGCCATCAGAGACCACAGAAACCACCACGAGCACAGCAAATGGGAGAAGGAGGTCTGTCCAAAAGCAGAGCACAGCAGGACTGATTCATCCCTGAAGCCAGCAAGAAATAAAGACAGATACAGCCCAGCATGCCCGGTAGCAGCAGCGGATTGCGGCAGCCTGGCACCCGCAGCACCTCTTCCACTGCCTCCACCCGAGCGGGACCCCACACCCCGCGGGCTGTGCAACGGGGCAGCGAGGCAGCCATCAGCAGTACACACACCAGTAGCTCATTAATACTTTTATGCAGGCAACACTATGGGACACCAGCAGCTGCTACTAACGAACCGACAAAGGACAGATTCGCCGTTCTCTCCCTCACTGATGGGAAATGGTTTTGGTTTTGTTTTAAATGCCACTAAGACGACAGACAGAAGGAGGACTCTGAAGGAAAGGGAAATGTTTGCGTGCACCCAAAGGCTGCCCAAAGCTACTTCATGTGCACGAAGGTGGTTTTCTTTCTGCTACAGTACAAGTGCTTGTGCCTCAAGTATAAAACGCAAGCCTCCAAATCACACAGACGAGCTTCTTATTTTTATTTTTAAAGTGATAAATAAGGCACTGTACTTTTAACTAAAACTGCCTGGTTCCAAGTTTTAAAAAAACCCAAGGAAGGTTCAAACTGCAGAAACTTCCTTCTGAACAGCAGAGCCAGACAGGCCGACTTCTTCTGTCTGAGACACATCTGCCGATGCCTAAAATCACGGGCGTTATCCTTTAACTGCGGAATTTAAAGGCTTGCTACAGCTTATAAAAGCAGCTTTAGTTAATGCATGGTAAAGGGTTACTACTATACATCAGTTTTGTACATGGCTACCGGTTCTTTGCTATTTTGGGTCCAGTCGCGAGCGTTTGCTGTGTGAACAGTCCACTTTTGCCCTCAGCTTCCTCTTGCCCTGCGACCCACTGCTCTCCTGCATCTTCTTCATGGACCTCGTCAGGGTCTTCCCACTGCTGGGCTTCTTGTTGGCCATCTTCTGTGACCGTGTGGAGGACTCCCCCAGGGGCTTCTGCTTCGGGGACTTGGCCAGTTCCTCGTGGCCAGGGAGCAGCACAGCCCGTCTGCTCGTGTTCTCCTTGCCTTTCCGTGTGGGGAGCCGCACCTTCTCCAGCTGCTTTTTCCGGGCTCTCTTCTCTTTCAAGGACATTTTTCTAGCCAGCTTATTGCTCCTTTCCATGGCAGCCTGCTTTCGGGTGGCAGGAGCTTTTGCGCTGACCTCCGAATGCTTTATTTTACTGGCCTTCTTCGCAGGCAGCTTGTCCTTGGTGGAGGAGCCGGACCGCTCCTGGGTGCTCCCGCTCTCCTTCAGTGTCCTCTTCTTCCTGCT